GAAAAATATTGAAAGATTTCAAAATAAAAAGAAGAATTAATTTTATATATTTTTTTTTACTGGAATAATTTATAAACGAAGCAAATTAATTGCATTTTTATGAATTAAAATAAAACAGATTGAAGCTCCTATTTGTGATATTATTAATTCTGGTCTAAATTGAAAAATTTCAGAGCATTGAATTTGATATATAAAGGAAGGAAAGAATTCTCTTCCGAGTTATGTGATTATAATTTTATATAAAATTTTACTATTCGATTAATTCTGTCTAGTTCTTCTCTGTATGTATAGAAGCAGATTTTCTAATTAATTTGGATATCGTAAATCTATATTAAATTTTGATATAAGGCGAAAATACAAGTATTTGACAACTGGACTAACATTATGGCAGTAAATTTTTTTAACAATAGTTATAGATTAGAATACAATAGCAAAGAAATTTCGAAAAAAATTAATGATTTTCTTGGAATTGATCGGCGGTAATTTGTCAGTTGTATGGTGATAAAAATATAAATTTTATAAAAAATTTTGCAGGGTCTTCAATTTCGAATGAAGTATTGAAATAACTGATATTTCAATACTTCATGGGCCATACTAAATTAGTAAGACTTTAATAAATAAAGAACTGGCAAAATAATTTTAATTAATTAAGAACATAATTCAAAAAACTAACAAAGCATAAGCAAATAGAATATAATTAACGTCACTATATAAGAAATCTCGCTCTGTATAAGAAATTATGCAAAGTGCGTTCATAGCTGGCGACGAGATGTGCGATCTATGAACACACTTTGAATTACTAAGAAATGTATGAAATAAGTATGTACTTTCACTTTTCTAAAATTAATTGTATTATTGGTTTTTTTGAAAAAAATTTGAAAAATTCTAAGCTTAATTCGCTTCTAATCTTACCTTCAAATTTATTGGAAGAATGTTTTGTTGCTGAATGATTTATTGAGCGAACGTGTAGCTTTAAATAATTTTTAAAAATAAATTTTTTTCAAATTTATTTTACGATATTGTTTAATTGATTCAAAATTTTCATTTAGCAAATTTATTCCTGTTATTTAATTTAATTTTATTCTAATTTTCCTAATTTTTTATTTCCAGTTTAATTTATTTTTATTTTATTAAAATTTGCACCTTTTAATTTTTTTTATTAATATTTTTTTAATTCATTTATAAAAATATTTTTGGTTGAATTTTTTTCCGTAGAATGTATTTTTCATTTGCACACCAAAAAAATTTCCGGATGTTATGGGTACACAAAATTTTATTTAAAAGATTTTCTAATTGAAATTGTAAAAAAGAGACCCACGCACACACATACTTGAGTCGAGTATAACACACATTTAAATATTCAATGAAGAAAATCCAGTAGAAAATTTCCAATATTAAAAAAAAAAACAAAAGTTTCCAGGAAGATTTTTCTTTTTCTTTTAAAAACCCTTAAAAATTAAAATTTTCGGTCACCACCCACTTTACAAATCAACTTGATACACACACAAATGTTTTCTAGGCATTGCTTTTTCTATTCTGTTTTTTTTTTGTTCTAAATTGTATAAAAGTTTTAGTATTTTGCGTTTGTCGAATTTGTAAAAGAAATTCGAATTTCAAATTTTTGTTTAAGCTCTTCAATATTGTTAAATTTTTGAAATATGAAAAGCTTTTAATGAAAAGCTACACTAGTCTTCAAAAACAATAAATTTTTAATTCAACAATATAAATTTTTTTTTTAATTTTAAAATTTAATATTAATTAAAATATTTTAAAAATTTATTCAATTTATTTTTTAATATTATAAAATTTTTTTAAGTAACTTTTTATTCATAATTTATTTTTTTTTTTAAATTTACAAATTTTTTTTTAACAATTTTATTCAAGAAAAATTTTTACTCTGCATTCAGAGAGCTACCAAACTGTCTAATAAAATTTCAATATGAATTTTTTTTTGTTTTGTGTTTGAAACCACCCTCACATGAAATGGTGGATATCATCGTAATAATAATTGAAAGAATATATGTATGTCCATACATAGGGGTACTCCTTCCAAAATGAATAAAAGAAGAAAAGAGAAAAGACAATAATTAAATTTAAAGTCTTTTCTTTGCTCACTAACTTGTCTTTTCTTTGTATTCCAGTGAGTATTTAGGTGGAGCTTATAAAAAATTCATAAAAATAAAAATTAATTAAAATTGAACAGAAAATTGAAAAATGCAATAGTATGTATTTTTAATAGCATTTCTCCAAATATAATTCTCCAATACACTCCATTGTACAATATAGAAAAAAACGAAGTACTGACATAGTACAATTTCTATCAAAACGCACAGTCACACACACAAACATTTATTTAAAATTAGAGAGAACATTTTTGTAACTTAACACAAATGTCATACCTACTTAAATTATTTTACACAAACAATTTGTAAAAGAAACAAACAACAATATAAAAAGAAAGATAACAAAAGCAAAAAACAAATAACGTCAAAAATAGTAGTAGAGGAAATGTCTATCCAAATAGAGGCGTTAACGATCCCCATTAATTTTCCAACGAGATACTTAAATAAGCAAAAACAAAACAAAAAAACAACAAAAACAAAACTCTAGTAGAACAAAAACAAAACATATGAAATAAAGAAAAAATAATAAGAAAAAAAGAAAGAGAAATATATGTTTGTGTGTAAGTAGCATAAGTATAAAGAATACAATAACTACAGTCAACATAAAAAATTCAATTGTAAACCACGTGACAAATAATATAATGTTAAAAATTTCCGTTATACTAAAAAAATATATATATATTTTTATACAACCAAACCACTATAATTAAAACCAATACTTACAATTTATTGAATTTTTCGAAGTTCGATTGTAGAGATTGTGGATTTTTTTTGATTTCATTTTATAAATTTGTTAATTTAAAAAATTTAAAACAAAATTATTCCACCACCATCATACCAATTGGAAACAATTACAAAAACAAAAGTACCTAACTATCTCTTTCTAATGTACGAAAGAAAGAGACAGTGAGATTCCAGAAGAGAGAGCTAAACTATCATACAAAAATCAAATATAACAGTTAACCAACACGCAAGCAGAAATTAAATAAAAAAATATTTTACGAATACCCACAAAAGATAAAAATGGGAGAAATGAGATTTTATACAATAATAAAGAGAGTTTTTTTGATTTTGGAAAATAAAATTTTTATTCTCTCAAATTATTCATTCCAGAAATTGAGAGAAAATGAAAAATTTAAAATTGTTATACAGTTTTTAGTTTGTCCTCTTTTGAATATTTTTCACGCATTTTTTTTTTTTGAAGTAGGTATTCAAATTTATTCGAAAAGTTTTCCACATTGCAATAGTTTTACTCGCATTTTGTAACATAGAGAGACGAAATTGTATTTGCATGTTAAATGGTATAATCAGCTGGTAGGGTGGGATTCTCTTTTCATTCATTTTTCGATTCTTTTCCCCATATTATTTCCAATCAAACTTTTATATACATAAGAATTTTAAAATATAATTAAGCAAAACAATAAAAATACTTACTTATGTTTACAGTCATTTAATATTTTACTCTGATTTATACTTGTGTATGTGTGTGTGTGCTTAATGTCAAAATTTTTCTTTCCGGTTTTTGTTTTCTATTTGGTTTTTTTTGTTTCGCTATTGAAATTATCATTGTTTGTGTACTTTACATATTAAAATTTTTAACAAAAAAATCACTCACGTGTACAATTTAATTTTTTGAAAAATTAAATTCTCGTATATGAGTATGTTTTGTTTAATTTTACATAATTATGCTTAATTGTTCACAAATTTGAAAATGATAAAAATATTCACTTACATGTAGATAATGTAATAATTAACAGGCCTCATCTATTAATATTTATAATTTAAATATGGGAAATTTTTTACACAGAATAAAAAATTTAATATTAATTTATGCTTTACAAAATCTATGTATAAATATTTTGCCCACGTAGCATTAAATGATAACGTACGTAAAAAGAAATAATTTTCAAAACTTTTATGACGTATCGTATATAATATCTAATCTTAATTATGTTATACGTAAACTGTTATACGTATAACAGTTATTAAATGTAACCGTATACTAATAATGTATTGGAATTTTTAAATAAATATAGTGAAAATCATATTACACAATATTATTTGTCATTTTTTTTTTGTAATTTAAAGAATTCTCCATTAGAATCTTGTTGTTAAACAAATTTCTATTCTATTGGAAAATTTGATTGGAATAATGTTATACGTTATATATTAATTATATTGTATTCATTATTTCCTTACTGATTTCAACTATACATGCTCAAGTTTGTATAAAAATACAAATATTATACACTCTCTCTTTTTTATAGTACATATTATAATGTGTTATAATGTGTATAATTCTTTTTTTTTTGGAAACTTCTTATTCACTACTCTTCTTAACCACTATTCGTTTTTACTGTTGGGTTCTTTTTCTTATGATTTCGTTTAAAATGCATTTGTATTTTGGTATTTTGTTGTTGGGATTCATTATGTATTTTTCATTTGTGTTTGTTTTGACACATATATATGTATGCATTTGTATATTTATTCATATAAAATTTATTTTTGTTTTTTCTCTATTCATCATGAATTCATTTTATACTATTATTTCTTCATTTCCATGAAAATTTCTATAAAATACAATATTTATTCCATTAAATGTAAATACTACATAATATAATATTGTTCTATTGTTAGTTGCATATTTTATATTATACTCTCTTCTATGCATATGTATGTATTTAGCTAGTAAATTTTGTATATAAAAAATTTCATATATTAATAAACACATACATAAATATCATATTAAATATATTAAAAAGACAAAAGGCAAATAGAGTGTGTTAAAAACTCAAATGGCAATATATATGAGCAAAGTGAAAAAAAATAATAACAAAAATAATAAAACAAAAATAAATAATAAAAATAAAAAACGAAAAAAGAAAAATACAAAATAACATACTAAAAGGCAGAAAAACATAAAAATAAAATAAGAAACAAAGAAAAATTTTTCGAACAAAAATAATATTATTGAATCTCTTGACTGAATAATAGTTGGAATATTGTTAGTTGACTTCGATAGCTTGATGAGTTTACACGTGAAAATAAAATATTTCTGTCACCTCTCGGTTTTTACTTTTTTTTTTTGAAATAAAATACAAAAAAAATATATAATATATATTTACATATATTAATCACAATATACAAAAAAAAAAAAAAAAATATTTATGAATTATTTTTTATTTTCCATAAATTAAAATAATTAATTATATATATGCGTATACGGTGTATGTATAAAAAAAAAATAATTTAAAACGAAAATAAATTAATTTCGGGGGAAAAATGCATTATAAAAAGTAAATTTACAAATTATTCAAAAATTAATATATTAGAAAAAAAAGAAGTAAATAAATAAATAGAGAGTATACAATTGTTAATAATATATACAATTAAAAAATTATAATTTGAGAAATAAAAAAAAATCATAATGTATATATACATATTTATGTACGTATATAATTAATATTAAATTAAAATAAATTAATAATTATTTTGTGTTTTGTTTTGAATGAATTTTGATAATAATAATTATTATTATAAATATATACAAAGTATAAAGAGAAAGAAAAATTAAAATAATAATAAAACAAAAATATAATAATATATGATAATAATGAATAAAAAAAAAAGAGAAGAATATATACGAAAGAATAAAATAACATAATACATACCTACATAAATATGTAAAGTAAATAATATAAAAAAATATATTATTATAATATATATATACATGAAATAAAGAAATAATGGTATATATATATATATACATGAGAAAAATATAAAAAAAATGATAAAACCGTACAAATAGTATGCAAATAAATGTTACTTAAATAATTATTTGTGTGTTTTTTGTTTTTTAAATTTTTTTTTTTTTTTTGTCATTTTAAAGTTCTTCTTCTTCTCGATTCAAATAAGATTTTTGATATTTAAATCATACAATTATTGATTTATAAAAGAAAAATAATATTAAATATATATATAAGATTTTGATAAAAGAAAATTTAAAAGTATAAAAGTAAATAAATAATAAATTAAATGAAGATATTATAAAATCAAAAAAAAAAAAAGAAAGAAAGAAAGTGAATTTGATTGAATTGTAGAAAAGTAGAAAAAGAAGTTTATGATAAATAAACAACAAAAAAATGAAATACTAATAAAAATTAGTATAAATGAATTAAAAGTGAATTTGAAAATTTTAAAATATTCAATATAAGAAAAACAAAATAATATTGATGAATCAAATTGCAAATAAATATTTGATTATAATTAGACATCGGTTTCCGAATCCAAAATTAAATTTATTAATTTTTTTCTTAATTAATGTGTTGTCCAATTGCTTATTCTTTTAAAATACATTTCAGTTACAGATTATATTCTTTCACTTGAATAATATATGAAATCAATTGATTTAGAATTTATTTATACTCTAACCTTATATCTTAGAATGTTCCGTAACAAATTAGATTCCTAGCATTTTTAAATTATAATTCATTATTAAATTCATTATTTTTATTTTAAATTTTTGTTCTATATTTTATTTTTATTTACATTAGGTATCTAGATACATATTTACATTTTAATAATTTTTATTTTTTAAAATTTTTTTGGGGGTTTGGAATATTTAAGAATCTTATAGTAAACAAAATTATTTTATAAATTGAAGACGACTTCAAAAAGTTACTGAACTTCAAATGACTTTTTATTATTCTTATATTTTAAATTTGTTATGCTTTTTTTTGCTATTTACAATAAATGAATAATTTTGGAAAATCAGAGAAATATAAAACTAAAATTAAACAAGTATAACAAGTGAAATAATAATACAAAAAGAAAAAGAAAAATTTGCGCAATTTTTTAGACATTTTTTTTTTCATTTATAAAATTCTTTTTTGTTATTTGTATCTTTTTTGATTCTGAATTTGATTTTGAACTTGGAATGGAAAAGCTTTTTCCATATTTTATAATATTAAATACTATATATGGTATATATAAAACTTCAAAATAAAATTTTCCATATATATATATTCATATATATCTTATATACTTGTATAATTTACATTATAACAAAAATATAGTAATAAAAAAGGAAGAAAAATCAAAAACTTAATTCAGAAAATAAATGAAAATTTTGAAATAAATTTTTGATTTTTTAATAAATTGTGTTCAAAATTTTATTTTAAATAGATTAATAATTAATTAATAAAAAATAACCAGAAGTTATAAACAAGAGTCAGTTGTTTAATGTACAAAATATTTGCAATGAATAAATGCAGTAAACAGTGTATACAAACTTTAAAAGAAACGTAATTAATAAAAATAGTGTTTGAAATTAATATTACATAAATACAAACAAAAGGTATACGATATTTAATTTTTAATAGTAATAAAATAATTTCTAATGGTAATACTTACTACATTTATGTTGAATTCTTGATTAAAATATTAATTTAAAGGTCAGTTCCAAAAAAAAAAAAATTTTTTTCTTGCTATTTGTCGATTGAAATATTAAAATAACTTTAAATCTCAAAACTAGTCAAAGAAAAATTCGTTGACTTAATCAAAAACACTAGAACATTAGAAAAAAAATAATCTTTTTGTGATATAAACGTTATTTGCTCAAATAAATCTAAAAAAAATAAACTAAATAGCAAAGGTTTTTGCTTTAAAAATTTTTAGTAACAAAATTTTTAATAATAATAAAAAAAAATATCTTTTTCGTAAACCGCAATAAAGTGCGGCAAAAAACAGAAACTGAATTTGGTAAAATATTTGCACACAAAATTAATAACAAAAACTTTAAAAACTTTAAAAATTTCGACATTTCAAAAAGAAAGTTTAAATAAAAAAATTTAATGTATGTGTGACATAATAAAATTAATATTATAAACATTAGAATAATTTTATAAAAGCAAAATCAAATAAATATTATTAAAAAAAATTGTAATATAAGATTTCAATCTGGTTCTCAAACTCGGTAAACTGAGCCCCAATTTGGAGCCCTACCCCGCCAGCGTGGACGGGCTGAATAGCCCTAGAGCGGTGGGGATGGCCGCCACATATATGACGCCTACATCGGGCGAATTAGATATGGCCTTAGGCGGTGGCGGATATCATACATCTTCACCCCGCAGTGCAACAGATGCTGGTGAAATGAAATATATGCAACATCATCATCATCATACACATTCACATCATCATCAGTTGCCATCATCACCATCACCAAATACTGGTGCTGGTGCAACAACATTAAGTAGTGTTACAAGCGGTTTAACGAGTGTTGGATCAGCAGGATCAAATCCATGGACGGCATTACATCCAGCTGCAACTGATCCATGGTCATTACAAACACATCATACCCATCACCATCCGGCAGATGTTAAACAAGAAATGTCAGCACATTTATCACAACAAAGTAGGGCACAACAAGGTATGGCATCACCACATGCATGGCATGCACCAGTACATGCGACACATTATGGCCCGACGGGTGGTTCACCGTTACAATATCATCATGCAATGAACGGTATGTTACATCCAGCAGCACATCATCCACATCACCAAGGTGTTGCACCATTACATCATGCGTTACGTGGTGCAGAATCACCTCAGTTACATATTCATCCACATCATTTACAAGGGGATCGTGATGTTAGTGCCGGTGAAGAAGACACACCAACTTCAGATGATTTAGAAGCATTTGCAAAACAATTTAAACAACGTCGAATAAAATTAGGTTTTACACAAGCGGATGTTGGTTTAGCTTTAGGTACATTATACGGTAACGTTTTCTCACAGACAACGATATGCCGATTTGAGGCTTTACAATTAAGTTTTAAAAATATGTGCAAATTAAAACCACTTTTACAAAAATGGCTAGAAGAGGCTGACTCAACGACCGGTTCACCTACATCGATTGATAAAATTGCCGCACAAGGAAGAAAACGAAAGAAACGTACTAGTATAGAAGTTTCAGTTAAAGGTGCACTTGAACAACATTTTCATAAACAACCAAAGCCATCGGCACAAGAGATTTCATCGTTAGCTGATTCATTACAATTAGAAAAAGAAGTAGTAAGAGTGTGGTTTTGTAATAGAAGGCAAAAAGAAAAACGTATGACACCACCAAATACAATGGGCGGCGACATGATGGATGGCATGCCACCAACACATTTAGGTCATCACGGTTATCATCATCATGATATGCATGGTAGTCCAATGGGTACACATAGTCATAGTCATAGTCCACCAATGTTAAGTCCAACAAATATGCAAAGTGCTGGGGGTCACCAGCTGACGGCCCACTAGCAATCAGAAATCCAGGAGTCCAACTCCGCTGTTAATGCATCGAATGCGACAACGATACAGTCAACGGTGTCTTCATATAGTCAACATCAACATCAACAGCAGCAGCAACAACAACAGCAGCAGCAGCAATTAAATCAACAACAATCAACGACACCATCATCTTCAGGTTCATCAACAATGACAACAAATGTTTTATCACCGAATAGTCCCTTAGGAAATCATAATAATAATAATAATTCAACCCATAATAATAATAATGATAACGACCATTTATCTCAAGTAACTAAAACGAATGCATCATTAGCTGCGGCAATGTATTTAGATCCAATGCGATATCAACAACATCCGCATTTAACATCACATCATCATCCGCATCTATTCCATACCAGTGAGCATCAATTAAATTTAAATCATCATCAGCAATTGCAACAGCAACAACAACAGTTGCAACAACATCATCAGCATTCACCGTTATCACCGTTATCACCAGCATCACCGTTGTCATTAAATTTGAACCCACACGTTGTCCATCATCATCATTTAAATCATCAACAACATCATCATCAGCAGCAACAGCAACAGCAACAACTTCATGCCAGAAGATTGTTTCATGAGTGGACCCTGCAATTTGGCGCAGCAGCCGCCACCGGAGCACCACCTGGTGTCCGTCATTTTAACACATTCGGAGGCGATTATAGTAATCGTAATGAATAACAAAATCTGTGTAAAAATCAAAATAATTGGGTTTTTTAATATTAAAAGTACAAAAAAAAAAAAAAAAAAACGAAAAACAAACAACAAGTCAAAATATTTTCAGTTTGCGAAAAATACACGCATTGCCGTCGATATATTTTGTAAATTTGTGCAAATATTTTTTAAAAATAGAAAATTTATACATACCTATGAGATTTTATGTGTAGTTATAAAGCTAGAGAATATTTTATTAAATTTGAATTTTAGCTACAAATTCAAAATAATTTCCTTGTTTAAGTTTGGTTACAAAGTTTTCATAAACCATTGCTATAAATGTAAAGTTTATGAGTAGAAAAATTATCAAGCATTGAGAATTGCTATATTTTGGAGGGTTTTCAGAGTTTTATTATTAAATTATTGAACAAGACTTAATGCTCCAGGTTTATAAATTCTCCCAAATTTCTGATTTATTTATTTTAATTTATTATAGAAAATCAGAATCGTCTCCTTTCGCTTTATTTCCACTTAAAACTTTAAAATAAACATCGAAATTATCTATTGAAACCGAATTATTAATTAATATAGCCTTTATTTATAAATGTTATATGTTAATTTGGGTCTACATATTTTTCATTTAATTGCACTTAAATATACGATATTTAAAGTATACGATTTAGATATACTAAATACAAATTTTATGTAACTATAAAACAAAATGAATTTAAACGGCAAAAATTATAATATTTTTAATCATTTACACAATTTTACATTTAATAGCTGAAAATTAATAATATCGCGTCTTATATACCAGTTACATTCCAATCGCGAACAAGTACTTGTAATGTAAAAATTTCAAATATTTTTTTTTTTTTGTATATTTTTAATAGAAGAAAACTCAATCAAATAAAATTTTGTAAATTTTATAAAATAATTAAATAAAAATATAAATAGAATTATGAAAACAAAATAAAAATTAGGTAAAAATTAATTAATTGAAATATAAAAAAAAAAATTATAATAATAATTGTAATATAGTTGAAATTTTTTTATTTTTTTTTTTTTATTATTATTATTGTTTATTATCTTAATTTTTAAAATATTTCATTAAATTTAACTTTAAACAATTAAATGTTCTTTTTTTTTTATTATTTTTAATTTGAATTATCAAAAATTATAATTTAGTTATTATTTTCCTTCAAATATAATATATTATATAATAAATATATTATTAAAATTAGATTATTATTTTATAAAAGAATATCTAAATTCAAAATAAAAAAATAATTGAGCTTTAAAACTCGAATTTCTTAAACATCTTAACTAACAAGAATATTTTAAAACTAATGACCATCACAGTTACAAAATAAATTGTACTAAAAATACTATCAAAAGGACAATAAAATGAGCAAAAAACCAAGTAGCTATAATAGCTAAATTTTGAAAGAAAAATAAAAAATTATTTTCGAATTTTGAATATTTTCATTAAATTGAATTTGTATGAAATTAAGAACAAAACAAAAACAAAAATCTCATTAATATTCAGAAAAATTTGATTGTAAATTCGCTCAATACACGAAATTTCAATTGAAAATTGCATCTTAATAAATTTAAAATCAAATTGATTGAGATTTAAGAATTAAACATAAAACTAATTACAAAATTTATTAAAATTAAAACAAAGTGATGTTTAATTTTTAACCAAAAAAAAAAAACAAGAGTAAAAGAGAAAATATAAAACTCAATGCTTTCTAAAATAAATTATAAAATAAAAATACAAATTTTTAATTAAATGAAAATTTTTTAAATTTAAATGAATTTCATACAAAATACATAATGAACAACAATAAGAAAAAACATGAAACAAAATGGAACAAACAAACAAAATTTTGCTACAATGCAATCTACAATGTGTAACGAAAATAACAAGAATTTAAATAAAAAGGTAAATAAAATTTAAAATTTTATTTTATTTTTCTATATTAATTAAAATTCTCATTTTTTTTTTTCTTAAATTTTTTTTTTTTTGATCATACGGACTTGAAGTGGTTTGAAAAACAAGAGTACATAATACTAAAAATATTAAATAAAAATACTTTGAATAGTTACTAGTGTGAATAGTTAGTGTAATAATTTGAAAAAAAATAAACAGATCTAACCGCAATTAAATCAAACCAAACCACAAATTAGTTTAATCAGTTTAATAACAGTTAGATTTTATTACAATATCCATGGATCCATTGAAAAATCCATTGAAAATTCCAATAATTGAAATTAACATGACTAAAAATATTTCGATTTATTTAAAAATCAGCTCAAATTACTAAAACTTTTTTTGATTTTATAATTACTTAAGATTAATAATGGTAGTATCTGTTTTTAAGTAGTATTTTCATAAATTATTTTATAATACGTAATTATAATGAAATTATACAATAAATAATTTACTAAAATATCATAATTTAAAAAAAGAAATAGTTTCTTTTAAAAATTTCGAAAATATTATTGTGACTTTGCAGTGGTTATGGCACCGGTCCTTTATCCGAAGGGTCTCGGGTTCAAACCCCGGTCAGGTCACTTTAAAAATTATATTCAATATTATTATAACTTAATATACAATACTAATAAATATTATACAAGTAATTTTCAAATATTCGATATTAAAAAAAAACTAAGAAAAATAAACAGTAAATATTAATAACCTCAAATAATTGTAATATAAATAAAACTACGGCAGGCTAGTCACCTACCTATAGTTAACTGTATGACGCTATGAAACTAGTGCATGATATTCATGCACTAACCCTATACTCCTTCTAGGAGTGAATAGGGAAAAAAAAAATTGTGACTTAATTCGTTTTCACTTTTCAAGACTTGAATATTAGAAATGTATTAATGTCATCTTAATTTTTTATAAAATTTAATAAATTTAGGTACTTCTAACAACAAGAAATTGCTTAGAGCGACATCTATGAGCATTTATTCGCAATCAAACTAAATTCTCCTACTAGGCGGTCTTGTGTCAAAATTTGATAATGTTATAATTTTTTTTTTAATTTCAAGCGCATTATAATCAATAGCAAAATTGTAATATATTTTTAAGTTCACGCTATACGAATAAATAAGAAAATTAATTTTATATTGGAGCATCAATAATAAAAAATTGGGTCTTTTAAATTTTCTCTTAATAAAAATTTAATTTTCCGGCAATAGGATTTAATTCGAAGGTTCTTCTTCTTTTATTATTTAAAATTAATGCTATAGAACATTTTTATTTTAAGAAACAAAGAACATATGTTAACTTTAGTAAAAGGTCCTCTCAAATTCGACCTTACACAACACAAAATGAGTATTTTTTAAAGAGAATTTTTCAAAATTCAATTCTTTCTTATGGGATTGTAGTGTTTGAAGACCTTTATATATTTTAATTTCAATATGAAAATTTTTAGAGTTTTTCAATTCTTTCGGTCATTTTCTTATATACACTGCAGTTCTACATTAAACTCTTTAGATTGCCCTGATTCTTATAGAGATGTCGTCAAAAATTGAAAAATTTCATTCTAATTTAAGGTTCTAACAGGTTAAAATACCAATGTAATTAAGTACTTTTGTTTTTTATCTCTGTTTTCAAAAAATTTTTACTTTAATTTCTTTTTTATTTAATTTTCTTGTTTTTAAATTAAAAATAAATTAAATTTTCATGCATATTTAAAATAAATCTTTTTTTTTTTTGTTCTAAACTATTATACTTCATTAAACGTCAACAAAATAAGAAAAAAAAACATTAAAAAAAAATGAATATTATAAGTATAAATAAAATTTTTACTTTTAAGACATTTTTTGTATACAAGAGAAAAAAGAAATTAATTAACTTACATTTAGATGAAATTAAAAGAATGTAATAGGAAATCTATATATATTTACATATATATACATATATACCATATAAGAGTGAATTTACCATTTATTTTCCATTTGTATATATATTGTACAAATGTATGTATATGTATATGAATAGATTTTCTTCAATAAAAATATGTAATAAAATAATTTAAAAGTTATAATAACAATAAAACAAACACAAAAAATCGAAATTTATAACTTTATTGTTATATGTACATAAAAACATACATATATTAATAAATAAATATAATGTACATTTAAATGTATACAAAAACTGAAAAATCATACAGACACAAAAAAAAGCAAATTACAATTTTAAAAACAAAAAAAAAATTATATATAATTAAATAAATCTTTAATAATATATATATATATAAGTAAAAAATATATAAAAAAAATTCGTATAAATATTATAAATAAGTAAAAAACAACTGTAGTTAAAACAAAAAAACAAAATTAAGGGAAAAAAACTTAAGAAAATTCTATATATATATATACATAAAATAAATAAATATAATCATAGTAAATTAGTTTTAAAACAAACACAACAACAACACATAAAATATACATTAAACAAACAAAAAACAATCCCATTCCATTCTTCTTCCCTACAAACAATATACAAAATACTTTTAAACTGCTATACCTACCCTTTTAGTCTCCCTTATACATATTCTTCCTAAATTATCCCTCCCGTCACAAAAAAATTCAAAAAACAAAAAAATCTCTTTTTGTAAATAGTTTAGTCATTAGTTTTATTAATTAATTATTAAAATAAAATTAAATAAAATTATTAAATATAAATAACAAAAAATTAATTAAAAAAATACATACAAAAAAAAAAACACTTATTAAATATAAATATGAGAAAAAAAAATTGAAAATTGTGAAAAAATTATGTTTATTTTAGACTTAAATAAAAATTAATCTAATTAAAATATTAAATAATTAATAAAAAAAATAATTAATTAATATGATAAAATTAAAAAAAGAAAAAAACAAAAATGATAGAAACAAACAAAATTAAATTAAATTAAAAGAAAAGAAAAAAAAAATACAAAGAAAATATTTGAATTACAAAAAAAAAAAATCAATATAAAAAATATAAAAAAAAAATTAAATTATAAAAAAAATATAACGATTTTATTACATAAATAAAAATAAAAAATACAAAAAAAAAATAAAATAAAAAACACAGGGTAAACAAAAAAAAAACAAAGCCATACCAGCTTTTTAAATTCGACAAAAAAAAAAAAAAACAAAAATTTTTTGATTTTAATTTTTCAAAAAAAAAAAAAAAACGAAAAAACACAAAATTTTTATTTAGTTTTAAAAAAAAAATGTCTCAAATAATCAAAATATGAAAAATTTAACAAAAAAGTATGTTGTACATAAAAAAATAATTTCTAATTAATTAAAATTTTAAATATTTTATTTTATTTTTTTGAAAAAATCAGTTTTTTTCTTTTAATTAGTTATACTGATCAGGGCAGTGGTTAAAGTTAGAGTTTAAGTTAGAGAGAAAGTTTCGCTCAATTAATTTTAATTTGTTCGAAAAACATTCTTTAGACTGTGTAAGTACTTACTTCTTATTATTTGTCATTCGTTTAAATCTCAAATTTTTTATTTTCGAAATTTCCGAATTTCGAAAATTGATTTTCGAAATTTCAGAAATTCGAAAATTCGAAAATTGAGTTTCGAAATTCGAAAATTCAATTTCTGAATTTCGGATTCTTAATATACTAAATTCAGAAATGGTTATATTTTGATTATAATTTAAATAAACTATTAATTAGGCGGTGCACATTCGAGGGTTAGTCATACAAGAAATGTGAATTCAACGAGAAAATTTTTATAAAATTATAATTATATTTGTTAAATTGATCTCTCTTAATCAGGTTACTATAAAAATTATATTTAATATTATATAGCTTAT